CTTTGCCATGTCCAAAGGAGCTTCGTATTTGGTATAGGAGGTGACCACAATGGGGCATTTAAGATTGAGAGAGGACTTTATAGTGTCAGGCCAGGTGTTCTCCAAAGCATATCCCGTCGACCGATACAAACCCGCATTGTAAAAACAAACTGTTGATTAGAAACTCATAAAAAAAGCGTGCCTAAGTAAAATATATTACTCAGGTTATACCCAAATCTGGTTGGAGAAACTGCGGCTCGCTGCAGTAGTCGTGATAGAGGCTATTCTCAAAGTAATAGTTCACTTTTCTGTGAGCTTTGCGGCACAAGCGACAGCATCTAAAATAAAATAAAACTCTCATTTAGATCCAAATATTCGAAACCCAAGACTCTCCACTCACTTGATCTTCATTAGTTGCCCAAAAGAGATGTTATTGGGGTTCAGTTCTGGTCCCACGAATACGACATTTAGGCATTTCAGAACTGGCATTATGTGCAGAAAAAAGAGCTCCCATTTCTGCAGCATATCCACCTCAAACTCGATCTCAGCTCCTATTAGATGAAGAGTCAGCTCACAGTTTCGCAAGCGTTCGCAGAGCTTCAGAGCAAACCAGGCCGTCAGGGGGCCGGTGGAGATCTGCGTAAGGGCAGCATACTCACACTCATTAACGACATCTGGCAGGGAAGTAGATGGAGAATATGATCGAGATCACGAATTTGATTTTGATTTTAATGATACTCACTTAAACTAAGTTTGTTCATCATTTGTCTGGAATTGCAGCAGGCCATGGGCAGCTCTTGGAGGACCCTGTTGGGCAGCGATGGCTCCAGCCTTCCGAAATTGGCCTGGAACATGACAAGGGCCTTGAACAGTCCGTAGGCCCCGCACCACTTGGCATGCTCCGGACTCCGATGGTCTGGCTTATCTCTGCAGGAAGCAAATACCCCACAGCCGCCACAGAGTTGAAGACGTCTAAAGCGATACTCCCGGCACTTGTGGTCCCCGCAAATGAGGGGAAAGAGTAACACCTCTTGTTCCGCGGGGGAGAGCGCTCGATTAATTTGCTTCTCCACCTGCCGTATGCACACAATCCGATACGAACGAAATTGATCGGCACTGAATGTACCGCACTTGTAGAACATCTCGTGACCTACATAGATTCGAGCAACAAAAGATAATTGGCAATTAACTCAAATTATGGTTTGTGAACTGGGCAGGCGAATGGTACTCGTGGTAGCTTGTGGCACCGCTTACCGTTGTGGTCCATTGCCTGGCGCAGGGAATAGCACAGCTGGCGGTGCTCCTGATCCTCCCTCATATGGCTGTTACTGCAGTAGTAGCTCAATCCGCAGCGGGTACAAGGTAGGGCACTCAGTCCGCAGAGATCAGCTGCACAGAGCTGCAACGACAGTAAAGTCGGGGTAAAAGGTGGTTTAGGTCAGTGGCTGCCAACTGCTGCCACTCACATTGCACAGTGAGGCCATGAAATATTTCCGCGGCTTGTATATGTATTCAATGTACTCGGCCTCATCGTCGGAGGAATCCACATCGCTGAGAGGAGCCTGGCTGAAGAGCTTGCCCAGATTGCTTAACATCGCGGCTGTTGGCGACTCCCCGTCTCCTAAGTGGGATGCACGTAAAATGTTATATAATATCAAAATTTAGGGTAAAATTTCGAACCCTTCTGCAATCTGCTGCCCAAGCTCTTCAGCAAGTCGTTTACTTCATAGCCTCTGAAATCCTTTGATTGCTTGGCACTTGAAGAGGCAGTTGCTGGAGTCTTCGGTTTCCTTTCATACTCTTTGGCTTGCTTTGATGGCATCGCTGTCGCTTGGTGGGATCCAGCCAGCTCGTGTTCCCTGGAAATAGGAACTGCGCCTGGAACTGTCCTCTTGGCAAGTAGTTTCCTTCGCAACAGCTCCTGTATCAACCTGATTGGATCGCTCACAGGCTCCGCCTCCTGAGTTGTGACCACTAAAGGAGGTATTTCCTCTGCAATGTCCTTTTGTTTGCTGACCTGATTGCACTTGTTCCTCGAACGATTCCGATGCCTCGGGTTTTTTCTCTTTTCTCCTTTCTGCTGCTGCATAGCTAATTTTCTGCTTTTCTGGGTTCTAAATTAGCCTGCTTGCGCACGTAACTCAATTGAACGAAAACGAGGAATGAGCATTGTTCTTGGATTGCTGTACGCTCTGCCCCGAACTCAATTGGCCAGCAGCCATCCACCGCAAGTGAGCCCAAATGTACGCCCTGCCCTGGCTATTTTTGTTGAGCACGGGGCACGGGCCTCCGCACCGAGTACAGACAGCAGCAGGCGGCATCGGCATAGGCATAGGCTAGCATATATTTTGTCAAACAGGCATTTGATTATTGCTGTTCTCATCCGAGTGTGGTCACAACCGTGCACCACTTGAAAGTTAGGAAAGAACTAATTCCGTTTCTTAGTTTTGAAACCCGAAAAAATACGAGTCATAAGTCCCAAGTCATATAGTTTCTTCCTTGTAATGTAAGTATTTTGTAGTTGCCCCTTGAATGTTTTTTTTCACATGCTCTGATCTGAAGGGTAAGAGTATTTATTTAAATGTAGCCAACCAAACATTACAGTATTGTATTGACAACAGCTATCGAGTAAACAATATTGTATCATATATTCATAAAAAAAGATCCGTATTTTATTTAATTAAAATCTTTATTCGCATCAGTCTACAGATCACATCACCAAAGGAGCATCTAGACTTGAGATATTCGTAACACAGAACTGCGTAATTAAAACCAATTAAAGGAGAAACAAGCTATAATTTTGAAGTGCTTCACTGTTTAGTCTAAAATTATTTGTACGTTTAATTGAACGGCTTAAATTTCGCCTTTTTTCGAATTTTGTATGCTTTAAGTTGGAAAAAATGACACTATCCGCTTAACTATTTGGGACACAACAATGTCCCATAATGGTAATTGTAATTTGATCTATAAACTGACGAGATTAGTGACTATGGGGATTAGTTGTTCACTTTCAAATAAGAAGACTCTGGATTACTCTTCTTCAATATCTCCTCCATGGCCATTAGTCGCCCCAACGCCAGGCCCCTCCCATGCGCCTGCGTTTTCCAGCAGTGTGCTAATGTTGCTCTTGTAGTCATTTCGCGAAAGTCCATTGCTCGAAGTCGGCGCCGTCGTTGCAGGTAACGTTAGAACACTCAACGATTTCGTCGCACCTGCTAGTCCAACAACAGTTTCCTCCTCGTCTGACGAGGCGTCTGAGAGCTGGCGGGGAGATAGGCGGCAACCGCGCTGGATATACTGCGTAAGCCTATCTACGGAGGCCAAGATCAGGCCAAGGAAAGGTGGCGACGGCTTAAGTGGACGCGACAGATACTCTGGATGGTATTGGGTGGCGACGAAATACGGATGATCGCGCAGCTCAATGATTTCCATGCGTGTCTTGTCCTCGTCTGTGCCGACAAACCGCATCCCGTGCTCCTCCAGCTGTGGCACATACTTAGGATTCACCTCGTACCGATGCCGGTGCCGCTCCTCAATGGACTTCGGGTTGCCATACAACTTCCGGATGATGCTGCTGCAGCCTTCGGCAAAGACGGTTGTCCGCTTGCCCAGGCGCATGGTGCCGCCCAGCTGGCCGGTGTGATGCTCTGGCATGTCGATGACCAGGGCATTGCCCGTCTGTGGATCGATCTCCGTGGTGTTGGCGTCCGTCAGGCCAAGCTTGTTGCGCGCGTACTCAATCACGGCAGCCTGTAGGCCCAGACAGATGCCCAGCATCGGCTTGCGGTTCTCACGCGCCCACCTGCAAGCCCGTATCTTGCCCTCCATGCCACGGGATCCAAAGCCACCGGGCACCAAAATACCGTCGCTATCGCACAACCTCTGCCATTCCTTGTGGTACTTTGACGGCTCGCTCACCAACGTCTCCTGCTCCAGCTGGCACGACTCGATGAACACCAGAACCAGCTTGCGATTAGCCGCCAGTGCAGCATGCTGCAGGGCCTTTACCACTGAGGCGTACGAGTCCGTGAACTTGGTGTACTTGCCAACAATGGCGATGCTCACCTCCCGCCGCACCGTCTCCGTGCGTCGCGCCAGATCTCGCCACTGCTGCAGACACCTAAAACGATAAATAGAGGTTTAATTCGAATCCGAGTGAAATTCACAGACAACAATCTTGCACCGTCTGCCCACTTACTTGGTTCTCTTGCTCATGTCGATATTCAGCTGGAGCCGCTCGTTAAGATACTCAATGACTCCGTTCTGCTCCATCAGCAGCGGGACATGGTATATGGAGTTAAGATCAGGGATGCAGATCACCTGATCTGGCCCCACGTGGCAAAAGTTGCTGATTTTCTCCTTGACCTCCAGTCCGATTGGCTTCTCCGATCGGCAGACAATCAGGTCGGGACTGAGGCCGCAGCCGCGCAGCTCCCGCACCGAGCTCTGTGTGGGCTTCGTCTTGGGCTCCCCTGTGGCCTTTGGCAGCGGGACCAGCGACACATGGGCCACACAAAAGTTCTCGCGTTTCACCCGGAACTGAAACTGCCTGAAGGCCTCGACGAAGGGCATGCCCTCGATGTCGCCAATGGTGCCGCCCAGCTCTATGATGCAGACCTGCGGCTTCGACGAGCCCTGCACGGGCGTCTGTGCCACGCGCTCCACCCACTCCTGTATGGCATCCGTGATGTGGGGCACAACTGCAGATGATAAAGAGGAATGAGTTTTTTTCAGGTTCACTCAAGCGGCCCCACTTACCTTGAACAGTTTTTCCAAGGTATTCACCAGTGCGCTCCTTCTCGATGACAAGCTTGTAGATCTTCCCTGTGGTTATGTTGTTATCCCGATGCAGTGTGATGTCCAGGAAGCGCTCATAGTTGCCCAGATCCAGATCCACCTCGGCACCATCTTCTAAAACGTACACTTCACCTGGGGAAAATATGGTTCGCGAATTAGCAATTCAAATTCCATTGACCTGATCCGGGACCCATGCCGTTCCTCCCATAGATCTCGAAAGATTGTAATGTTTACACTTTGTAGTGTTAACAGTTTATTTTCAAGGTATTTGAGCTTAAGCGTAAATGGCGCATCCCCGGGATGAATCCCTGGTGAGTGGCGCTCAACTAGAAGTCAATCAAGTGGCATGGCATGGACAAGTACGGTCTAAGACTAAATGCTTACGGCTACTCTACGAGGAAGAGGGGGAGTGTGTGTATGTACAGTCTTATTGCGGGCGTTACGCGAGTCTAGGGAGGAGCAGGGGAGAAGCCCTACTTTGACTCCTCGAGATCCTCTTTGTAGAGCTCCTTGAAAATAAGCTTTTGTATCTTGGTGCGTATGCGCAGCTTCTGTGCAGCCGTCAGCTGCTTCATGTACGGATGCAGACTGAGCAAGTAGTGGTAGTCGTCGTCCTCTGGCACCAGAGACCCATCCATCGTCGACGAGCCATTGAAGTTGCTGTCCTCGGATAGACGAGGTCGCTTCAACTTTAGCGCGGGTATCAGCCCATTGGCATAGGAGTGCTGGTTGAAGCTGAGGTGTTCGCCACTCGCCCCGCCTGCTGGGGCTGTCGAAAAGTCATCGCTGGGGTCCTTGGACGTGTGATGCCCTGCAGCGATTGTGGTCACCGGATGGTGGGCCTTGTTGTACAGCGGCGGCGGGGATACCGAGCGCTTGGCGACCAGAGTCCCCACATTGCTGGAGACCGAGGAGGCGGACGTGGACGTGGTCGAGGCCGGAGCGAGGATAGCATCTGATCCGTACTGCGCCACTTGGGATGAGGTTGTGGTTACCATCGGCGGCGGGGAGCAGTTGGCGGATGGTGTTTCCATTAGTGTCTGTACAGCCTCTGCCTGAAACGGGTGCGGCTTCTTGCTCAGGTCCTCCGCCTCCTTCTCCAGCTCCATAAGCTGGGCGCGCAGAAGGCCTGCCTTGAACAGGGCATGTTGATGGGCCTCCTCCTGGGCCCTCAGGACGCCCGTGGCAAGCGGCGTGGTGCTCACTTGGTTTGTCTGGTGGGCGGCTGGAGGCGTGGGTATGGCATCCTCTAGGGTGACCTCACTGTCATCGCCATCTGCCTCGCCCTCCATATCATCCTCGTCGTAGTCCTCGTCGCTGTCCTGCAGTCTTCGTATAAGGCCGTTCGTCAGGTCTGGCTCCACTACAGTCTTCTCGCAGTCCTCGCTCTGCTGGTTAAAGTAGAAGGACTGATCCTGCTCGTTTTTGGGCAGGCGATGACGCATGTGATCAGCTGGGGAGGAGGAGTGGAGTACATGAACATGAACAGGGACTTGGCCATGGATTTTTTCAAGCCCGATTAGCTGCTGGGAGAACTCACTTAGGAAAAGCAGGGCGTAGTAGTGCAGCCACTTGGACTCGAAGGTGGCCGGATCTACCAGGAAGTCGCCGTTGTCGGCACGCGGTATCCGCTTGTACTCCACCCTAAAGTTGTCGCGCAGCCCCTTCCACTTGGCCTTGAGCACAATCTCTGGCAAATAGAGAGCAACATGTAGAGGTTGATAGAGGTGGGGTGGTAAGCCCCCTGGCCTTCCGAAGCGTTACTTACTCGGCAGCTTGTGCGCTCCGCTCAACTCGTCCCACATCTGCTCGAGGAACGCCTTGTTGCAGTGGAAATTGCGATTCCATATGGCCGGCCGCTCCTCGATGTCGTGAATGAATTGCTCCACATTAAGCACAATTGTTGATTTTTTTGGCGCCATCTTTGCGCGTCCTCCGTACAACGATTCTCACTCTCTCTTTCAATACACTTTTTGTTTTTTTTTTTTGTTTTTTTTCACTTGTGTAGGCCAACGAATAAATGCATGTTTATTTCAATAGCACACAAACACACACTGCCACCATTCCCATCAACTCAGATAGCTCTCTCGCTCTCTCTCTCTCTCTCTCTCCGCCCCACTCACTGCTTCGCACCGATCTGAGTGCTACCGCTTCCACTCATAGCCATGGCCAAAACACATTGTATCTCCTTACTATCACTATCGCAGCAGGAATGCTCGTCCTGCTCACAAATCTTTGCCGATATCTTTATGTTTCTGGATCGTCATAAATAATCTTGTCGGTTTCTTGCACTTTCAGCTATTCTTGGCACCATACCCGATATAAAGAAGATTCGTTATTGAGTGCAGATCTGTAGCAATTGCAGTGTTCGGCTACAGTGTCCGCATGTCCTTACTCCTGAATACATTGTATGTATTCCCTGACAGTTTAAATAAGTGGATAGGCTTCGCCGAATAATTGTTAAAAGCGACTTGCATATCAAGAAGGGCTGCCAATAACGATGGCAGCTTATGAGGATTTACTTGAGCGGTAGATAATCTATCATAGATTGATTTTCTTAACCCTCAAAGGTTTTGGATAGTTTTGGCGACAAGTTTTTAGGAGTTAGGTATGCTTTGGGTATGAAGAATATTTTTGCTGTAATCCAGCCGCTTGGCATTTGTCCAACTATCAAGATTATGGATATGGTACTGTGAGTGCAGCTAATGGCAGTTGTGTGAAGACACAACACAATGACTTCATTTAGATTCCTTCGTAGGCCTAGCCAATTAGAGATGAGCGACAGGAAATGCTGCTCTGCTCTCCATTGCCATCCATCGAAAAAGCCTGGCAGAGAGCAAGCAAGCAAGCGAAGAGAAGCGAAATCAAATTATAAACACGCCAGACCAGAGACAGACGGAGACCGAGACGACGACCAAGACCAGCCAACAGTTACTCTACCCCGCCTCCTCACCGTCCACAACCATTACTGCCTTCCTCCGCCTCACACTTCAGCACCATCACTCCTCGCCAGCGTCAGCGTCTGGTCTGGCCCGTGCATTTGTGTGTGCTTGTGTAAGTGACTAAGGCGCAGGCGGCTTTCAGTCAGTCATGCAAAAATGTTTGCAGCCGCCGTCGTTGGCGTTGCCTGGCAGTCGACGTTGCCGTGCACAGAGTGCGAAATACTAAAAACGGCAGCAGCAGGAGGCGAAGCATGGAGAGGAGACAGAGAGGTTGGGGAGACTGAGATCAGGAATGGGACTAGGACCGTGAGGTGGCAGAGAGTGTGGTTGCGGAGGGCAGGCAGGCGGCCTGGCTGGCTATATGTACATATGTATGTATTCCAGCGGGCAAAAGCAATTTCTGGCGGCAGCTAGCTTTTGCAGCAGACGGAGGCCAGGCCAGTCCGGCCGTACAGACCAAGCCAGACAAATAATGCGTCACGTTGCGCAGTCGTTAAATTTTCGTTTTCTTCGTTGCCTTTGCCGTTTTTATGTGCACAACGGTCGGCGACAGTGTGTTGGGTGAGGGCACGGGTGGGAGGGGGGGGGGGGGGGGGGGGGGGGATATGCCTGGAGGGGGATTTAGAGCAGTCGCAGGCTTTAGAGCGGCTGTGGTGAGGTGCTTGAGCTTGTGCTTTTTCTGCTGGTAGCCAAGAATTTCGTAAGTTTGGCGGTTGCTGAGGAAAGTTGTGAAGCCTTACACAGACACACACACACACACTCAACTGAGCTGAGGAGCTGGTAGGAAATTCGCATCGAATCGAATGAAACGGTAGAACCTGTTAAGAGATGTCGATCACACCCTGAAACATTTTCACTAGATAATTTGGATATTATTTAAGGGATTTCACTGTACAGTGACAAGTGACATTGAGATAGGAACATCCTCAATTCTCCGCGAATATTTATAGGTCAGATCTTGAACTGCACAAGGTATTGATTTGACAGAGGCGCCAACGTCCGTTATACTTCTACAACTGATTTCCCCCTTCCCACCTCTGGGCAAGAAATTGTGTTTCTTTGCTTTCTCGCAATCATCGTCATATTGCTCTGGCCTGCCCTTTCTTCCACCCTCTCGGATCCAACCTAATTGCTGGCAACTGTCGCTGAAATTAGCCCAGAGCGAGAGAAGGAAGAGAGGTCATCGGACAAGACCTGTCTGAGGAAAGAGCTAGTTACCCCACTCCACCACCTTCCCCATCAAAACTACAGTTCGGAAAGTTGCGGCTGTTTTTGTAGCTCTTTAAAATCAATAAGACACACACACATATGAACCTAAAAACAAGCATACATACACATGTATGTTCATATTCACTTACATACATATGTACGTATTTATGTACATACAAGTATGTCCATGCATGTGCAAAATTTAGGCGCGAGAAGCAGAAAGCAGCAAACGGTGGTGGTGTGGCGTGGGTGTTAGGGCGGTAAGGCGCCTCGACGGCTGTGGGCGTGGGTAACCGTTCAAGTTGTTAAAAATTAAAAAAGTTTATGCGCTCGGGCCACTGTCCGCTTGGCCCGTATTCGGCGTTATCCCGTTGGTCAGAGAGCGTGTGCTTGCCGGACGATGAACGCGAGAAATTACAGGCGCCAACCGAAACGGACACCAAGACCCAATTCGAACCACGAACCACTGCTGATTGCAGTCAGCTTACAACTGAAATTGAAAATTCAGCAGAGCAAAGTGCGAAGCGCCGTTGACGCGGCTGTTGCCGCTGCCGCCACCACGCCACTGCTGCCACGACAGGCTGCAGCCAGCCCAAGTCCAAGCCCCCAAAAGCCAAGCGAGAGCCAACAAAACGTGCCAACTAGCGGCGGCAGCTGAAACGACGACAACGAAAAAAAAACAACAAAAACACACACTCAAACGCAAAAACGCCAGCGAGACCCAGGCCCATGCCGTGGACAGGAGAGTCAAAGCCACGCCACAAGCTCTTGCCGGCGACACACGGACACACATACATTCATGTACATATAATGTACTATGCATACATATAATGTAGCTGTGCATGTGTGTGGGGTTGGGTGGCCAGGAGGCCAGCGCGCACAAACGCTAAAAACGGCCGACGCCATCCAGCCTGCTTTGCTTTGCTCTGCTCACTGCTGCTGTTTCTGCTGCTTTTGGGCATATTATTGCGCGATGGCGACGTTTGCCGGCTAACCAGCACGCACACACACTGGCGCAGATAGAGCCCAGCTGTCTGTGTGAGGTGGAGCCGGTGGAGCAGCGGCAGCAACAGCAACATCTGCGCCAACGACAATCAACGCGCGGAAGCGAGCGAAAAGCATAAACCATGAAGAGGTGGCAGAAGATAGGTGGGGAGGCTCGTTAAAATCACGCGACAGGAGGAGGAGACGGAGTCAATGGCAGACAGAGAGGCAGAATGGCAGAACCAGCAGCTAGGCCGTGGCAGGTGCGGGTGTCGGGGGCGGTGCAACGCTGCTAAAGCGAATCGATGCGAATTTGGCTGTAGATGGCGCCTGCTTGCCCCACACGCCCAGGCATGTACAAGTGCGACGGGTGGAGGGGGAAATGGGTGGGAGGTGCAACATTACTGGAGGGTGGCTTCAACATAAGAGGGCAAGTCCAGGCTGTGATCCGTATTTATTGTCTTATGTAATTAAATAACAGTTTAATGGTTAAGCTAAAGCATAGAATACCGTAGAAGAAATTCGATAAGCTTATGTAATATGTAATTTTACATAAAGCCATACATATGTACATACATACATATGAGCGATTCTCTCTCCCAAGCGTTATGTTACTACAAAAACAGAGCCTTCGCTTTAATATCTGAAGATTGCCGCAATTATCAGGTATCCTGCGATGTCCTGATTGTAACCGAGAACGATCGAAAAAGCAACGAGAGATAAAGTTATGGCTTAACTGTATCGCCTAAAATTGTTCGCATGTATGTACATATGTACACACATACATATATGTCCATATATACAAATGTATGTACATATTTTTGCATGCCTGTATTGACAGCTGTTGTGCGTGTGAAAGGGAAGTGGGAGGGATCCAGAGGAGGCCCTCACCCTCAGACGCCAGTCAGCGCGGAGCAACGGTCCATATCATGAAGAGTAGAAACGAAATGGTGTTTTCCATTTAATTTTTGCACACACACACAAGGCAGCTACGAATGAGGAGAGGAGTAAAGTGGAGTGGAATCAGAAACAGGCGCAGGCAGAAGTTTTATTGCCGTCGCGAAACGTGAGCGTAAAGAAAGCGCAAGCAGAATAGCAACAGCACAACTGCGCCAGCAACAAAGCAAATGCAGGCCAAAAAGACGGAATGGAACGGGGGACAGGGGCTAGGTCTAGGTAAGGGGCGGCCGTTAATAGCAGAGCAGAGCGTACAGAGCAACAGCTGCTAGCGATGTTGACGCCGATGACGGCCCAACGAAACAAACACACACACTAACACAAAACCAGACGGATGGAAAGAGGAACGAAGCAGCAATACCAGCAGGCGGTTCAGTTGCGCTGCCTCTTTTATGGCTAAAAACGCTAATGTGATGGCGACCATGCTGCTGCGGGGGAGATGGGAATGACAGAGAGCAAAAACATGCAAAAGCCTCTGCGGGAACAGGCACAAAGATGAAGAATTAGAGGCAAGAGAAGAAACATAGTCAGCTACAGCGACAGATGATGGCCGAGACAAAAACACACAAGCCATGTAGAAGGCACCCTCGTCGAGTGGAGTAACTCATAAAGATGGACGTCAGACGGAGAGTAGCTGAGGGGGCCAGTAGCCAATATGGCAGCCAAAGCCACATTAACGTAAAACAAATGAAGCACACGCGCACGCATGTGCCGCAGTTGGTGTTGACGCCTACCAACCCCGACGCTCTTAAACTTCCTCTGGCTCTCGCTCCACTCACACCCGCCGCACCCAGAACCCCCAACCGCTCCAATACTTTCGACGTACTGCAACAACAACAATACAACAAATGAGAAGAGATGCAGAGAATGCAATTCGACCCCCAAAAACGGAGAGAGTAGGCGAAAAATGCAAATGACAGTAATCTAGTGTGGTGGCGGCGCGATGAGGTGGAGAGCAGCACTGTGGTTCGATTCACCGAAAACACTATTAAAACTACACAAATTGACTAATATTATATTAACACTATTAATAAACTTTAATAAACTGGTATATCCTTTTTTGCGGACAAGCGATCGACGCATATGTATACTATTCTATCAGTTCGTTTTTATGCTATAGAAACAAAATATATCTACATAATATACATATGTACATAAACAACACATGTGCATAGATTGTTTTTTTTTATAGATTTCTTTACATATTAGGCTTCGCACCTAAACATTAAGACTTCAAGGGTACCGTTGTGAGCATCTGCTATTCTTCAACATACTCTAAGAAAACTTTTTTTATACCCGTTACTCGAAGAGTAAAGAGGGTATATTGTATTTGTGCGAATCAGCATTAATTGCCGAGTCGTTTGAGCCATGTCTGTCTGCCCGTCCGTCCGTCCGTCTTGTTGAGCGCCTGGATCTCATAGACCATAAAAGCTGGAGCCACCACATTTTGCATCCAGAGTTCTGTATGCTTACACTGATACAAGTGTATTTCAAAAATCAGACCCGCCCCCGCAAAAGGGCGAAAACCTCCCAAAGCTACAATTCCGTAGTGAAGAACCATATCTATCTGATCACCGAATTGGGATCCTACTGGATCATTATTATAGCCATAATGAAGAAATTAATTTGCAGTGCCTAAACCCACCCCGTCCAGCAGCTTTTGTTGCTTTTTTCACAATCTCTCATTCACACTCTGCATCTGCAGTGTGCAGCCGCTGCCTCTGCCGCGTCTCTGCCGTGAGTCTGCAGTGTGTGGGTCTAGGGAGGGGGGGCGAGCTTAAGTAGCGTGTTGGTGTGAGAAGTGTTGTAGACGACAGATGAAGACAAAATGTAAAATTTGACAAAAAACCGCTAAGGTACAGATGTACTTAGTATCGGGAATAAAAGTTGTGACGTGTAAGAAGCGTCTCACACGTCCCTTCTCGTTTTAAATTGAATAAAGCATAAAGTAAATTTTCAGTTTTGTAAAAACTAAATGACGATGCTATTCGATTTTTACTAAATTTAAGTAAAATTATTAAAGAAGTTCAAATACATCTTTTCACCTGCTCTACCAGTTGATCTTTATGGACACTTGGTTGTCTCTTTAATGTAATAAAAGTAAAAGTTACCGCAAGTACCGATCCACAGATCGGCTGTAACACAGAAAAAAAATGCAAGTGTTCATATTCATAATTAAAAATGATTTTTCTCGATTTATGTACATTGAGATGTAGACACGTGTAGTTGGTCCCCTTTCTTGCCATGAATTACAGATGTACTTATGTATGTGTGTGCATGTACATGTACATGTACATATCCGCCACTCAAGTGCACTCCAAGGCCACACGAATAAGCACAGTAGTTGCACTGGCACAGACAGTGCCGCGTTTCTGTTGCTGCTGGTGGTGTCCTTTTCCGATCCAGAGGAGGCGGAGGAACTTTTTTTAGTGAAATAAGTTCACGGCATGGTACTGTATAACAAAATTATCAGAGAAAACCCTATCCTTGCAGTGCATGAGGAACTATCAGTTAGTATACATCTCCTCTTTATATGTTATTTCTTATTTAATCTTAAATAGCAAATGTTACCTCAACAGTCATATTTCGCCCGCCACCACATTGCCACATATTCCTTTACTCAGGCAACCTGCGACAACAGTAAATGCAAGAAAAACGAGAACGGGCAAAAAAAAAAAACAAAGTAGAGGCTAAAACATGAAAGGAAAGAGTAAAGGAAAACTTTAGTTTTCAATGTCAAGTAATCGAAAAAGAGAGCAAGAACAGCAACCGGATGCCGGCTGAGGGATGATTTTCGAAGGAAAGGTATAAACATAGAGAAAGCGGGTGGTGAGATATTTAACTTTTCCCACTTCCTCTTGCTTCCCAAAAGCTTTCAGCCAGTGCATATACAATAACTAGTAAACGCTTTTACAAATCTCTAATATTATAAGCAGTTTGTTTATCCGCGACGCAGTTTTTTATTGTATTAATATTCTATTACATTCTTTTTGCAGCTTGTAACGTTAACGAACAATCAAAGCTGCTGCTTTCAAATCTTAATAACTAAAATTAAATGAAAATACTACAGCAAGACACGTGCGAGCTCTATTTGCCGTGAGGGGGAAACAGCTGATAGGCAGCCACGCTAGTTATCTCCCTCACCCCTCCTTCCCATGTGGTGGCGGCGGTGGTCAAGTTGCAACAA